CCATCTTTTCATTTCTTCTTCATTGTTAAGAGAATGGAACCACCATCCTCTAATTTACTCCATACAAAATTGCCATTATTCTTCCCAGAGATCAGAGATGTTGTGGATCCCCATCCTTAGGCTATCAAATTCAGATATTAGGTAGATGTCTTAATTAATTTGATTATTTTTTCAAATCAAATATATTTTTAATTGTGTTTTTTTTATAGAAAACAAAAATTAAAATAGAAATAAAAACAAAAAACTCGCTGGCAATGTTATTTTTATTTTTTGAAATAAAAAATTGCCAAAAAAAAAAGTATCATCTAGAAAGTAATTCCAACTTAAATTTTTTGATTTGATTAATTGATTTCTTGTGGGAAAGTTTCTGTTTTGTACTTTTGTTTTTCATATAGTCCACATATATATGGATTTATGAGCAAACACAAATTTATGAGGTCAATTTCAAAAGAGTTTTTCAATGTAAATTAAGAGTATATTTTTATTTTTTGAACAATACTAGGTAAAAATTTTAAATTAAATAGTTAATAAAACTATAATTAGTTTTTATTTTTTTTATATAAATTAGTAATAAAACGTATAACAAATATACCTTCGTCTCCATCTCGCAAGTTAAAAAATTCTATTCCAAAAATTGGAAATAGTGGGAAATAGTGATCAATTTCAAACCATTACCAATGCAATGAACTTGGGCCCAGCTAATCCTTTTCTGAGTTTATTGAAGAGCGACCACTCCAGCTTCCCTAAACGGGCTTAAGGTAGAGTTTAGGGGTTGCTTTTTCTTTGTATTTTTTATTACATTGTTTTATAAAAGTATTAATGTATTATAATTAAGTTTTTTTAATTAATAGTTTATATAATTTAATAATTATAAAATGTATAAAAAAAATTTAATACAATAATTGAATTATTTCATAATTTTTTTAATTAAATATTAATAAAACTACCATCACAATACTTTACAACCATCCTAAACACATTTTAAATTGCGCTTTTTTCATTTGCGGATATCCAAATAAGAACAAATGACATGAAATAGAATATGCTTCATCATTTTATAACGCTTCTCACTTTATTAATTTTTCATTTTTATACTTTTTATTATGTTAAAAATATATAAAATATTAATTATAATAAATATTAAATATATTTTATATTTTTTTAAAATATTGAAAATTAAAAAAATCTGTAATTATAACTACGTACAGATCAATACCATCAAAGTAAACCTCAAAACGGCAAATGTGTGAAGCTCGCACTTGGATCCTACTTGGCTGGGTGCATTTAAAAAAATTAAAAATTTGCTAAAAAAGATAATAAGTTTTTTTTTTTATCTTAAAAAAAATTATGAGTTAGGGGGCCGAGTACGTGTGGTACTCCCCTATAAAACAAACGGTCGGGCTGGGCTTGGCAGGGTAAAT